GGTGGCTGGGTTGATGGATGGATGGATGGATGGGTTGGTGGATGGGTTGGTGGATGGATGGATGGTGGGATGGTGGGATGGTGGTTTGGGTGATGGGGGTGGATGGATGGATGGGTTGGTGGATGGATGGATGGATGGTGGGTTGGGTAGATGGATGGTGGATGGGGGTTGGGGAAGGTGGCGGGGGTTTATGGATGGGTTGGGGTGGATGGGGGTTTGTGGATGGTGGATGGGTTTGGTGGATGGTTTCATGGATGGTTGGATGGGTTGGTGGTTTTATGGATGGGATGGTGGATGGGTGGATGGTGGGTGGGGTGGATGGGGGATGGGGTTTATGGGTGGATGGATGGGTTGGTGGATGGATGGATGGGGATGGGGGGGATGGATGGGATGGGTTGGTGGTTGGGTGGATGGGTGGATGGATGGTGGGTGGATGGAGGGGGGGAGGGTTGATGGATGGATTTGGGGGAGTGGATGGGATGGATGGTGGTGGGCTGGGGATGGATGGAGGGGTTGGTGGATGGATGGGTGGTGGGATATTAAATTTGGTATGGAATGGGTTGGTGGATGGATGGGTTGGGGGGGTGGATGGATGGGTTTGGTGGATTGAGGAAGGGGTTTGGGGGTGGGAAGGGGGGGATGGATGGTGGATGGGTTGATGGATGGATGGGTTAGTGGGTGGATGGATGGTTGGAAAGGGCTGGGGGAAGGGTTTGGGTGGGATGGTGGATGGTGGGGTGGGTGGGTGGGGTTTTGGGGGAAGGTTTTTTGGGGTTTGGGTGGATGGGATGGTGGATGGGGTTGGTGGGATGGTGGATGGAAAGGGTGGATGGGTTGGTGGAAAGGAGGGGTGGATGGAAAGGATGGGATGGGGATTGGGTGGATGGATGGGTTGGTGGAAAGATGGATGGGTGGAAGGTTGGGTGGGTGGATGGATTGGGGGATGGAAAGGATGGTTGGGGGATTGGGTGGATGGGTTGGGTGGGGGTTTATGGATGGTGGGTGGGTGGTTTTGGGTGGAAGGGTTGGGGATTATGGGGGATGGGTTGGTTGGGTGGGGGATGGGGGTTTGGGGGTTGGGGGATGGGTTTGGGGGATGGTGGATTTGGGTTTGGGTAATTTTTTGGTGGATTTTTATTTTTAGTCCGGGGCCCCCCGGAAAAATTTTTTATTTTTTTAATTTAAATTTTTTTAATTATTTAAATTTTTTTTTAATTATTAAATTTTTTAAATTTAAAAATTTTTTTTATTATTTTTTAATATTTAATTTTTTTGGATTATTATTTTATTAATTTTATTAATAAAATTTATTTGGGGGGTGGGGTGGATGGGTTGGTGGATGGATGGATGGAAGGGGTTGGGGGGTGGAATTTGGGTGGGTGGTGAAATTTTTTTTGGGGGATGGATGGATGGAATGGATGGGTTGGTGGAGGATGGGTGGGATGGAGGATGGGGGATGGAAAGGATGGAAAAGGGTTGGTGGATGGGGTGGGTTGGGGGAGGGGTGGATGGGTTGGGGGGTGGGTGGATGGATGGGTTGGGGGATGGATGGATGGATGGTGGTGGATGGGTTGGTGGATTTGGTGGGAAGGGTGGGTTGGGGAATTTTATGGATGGGTGGATGGTGGATGGGTTTGGGGGATGGGGGGTGGGTTGGGTGGTTTGGGTGGGATAGTGGAGGATGGATGGTGGTTTGGGTGGTGGATGGATGGATGGGTTGGTGGATGAGGATGGGGGGTTGATGGATGGATGGGTTTTGGGGGATGGGGTGGGTTTGGGGGATTGGGTGGATGGATGGGTTGGTGGGGTGGATTGGGTGGATGGATTGGGGTTTGGGGGATGGTGGATGGGTTGGGGGGATGGATGGATGGGTTGATGGATGGATGGATGGATGGGGGTGGTTGGGGTTTGGGGGATGGATGGATGGGGTGGATTGGGTGGGTTGGTGGATGGATGGATGGTTGGGGATGGGGATGGGGTTTGGGGGAAAGGATGGGTGGGTTGGTGGTTGGAAAGGATGGGGATGGATGGGGGGATGGTGGATTGGGTGGGTTGGTGGATGGATGGATGGATGGGTTGGTGGATGGATGGATGGTGGATGGATGGATGGATGGATGGTGGATGGGTTGGTGGATGGATGGATGGGTTGGTGGATGGATGTATGGATGGGTTGGTGGATGGATGGATGGATGGATGGTGGATGGGTTGGTGGATGGATGGATGGTTGGGTTGGTGGATGGGTTGGTGGATGGATGGATGGTTGGGTTGGTGGATGGATGGATGGATGGATGGATGGATGGATGGGTTGATGGATGGATGGATGGATGGATGGTGGATGGGTTGGTGGATGGTGGCTGGGTTGATGGATGGATGGATGGATGGGTTGGTGGATGGGTTGGTGGATGGATGGATGGATGGATGGATGGATGGGATGGTGGATGGATGATGGATGGATGGATGGGTTGGTGGATGGATGGATGGATGGATGGATAGATGGATGGTGGATGGGTTGGTGGATGGTGGCTGGGTTGATGGATGGATGGATGGATGGGTTAGTGGATGGTGGATGGGTTGGTGGATGGTTTCATGGATGGATGGATGGGTTGGTGGATTGATGGATGGGATGGTGGATGGATGGATGGATGGGTGGATGGATGGTGGATGGGTTGATGGATGGATGGATGGGTTGGTGGATGGATGGATGGGATGGTGGATGGATGGATGGATGGGTTGGTGGATTGATGGATGGGTGGATGGATGGATGGGTGGATGGATGGTGGATGGGTTGATGGATGGATGGGTTAGTGGATGGATGGATGGTGGATGGGCTGGTGGATGGATGGATGGGTTGGTGGATGGATGGATGGGATGGTGGATGGATGGATGGATGGATGGGTTGGTGGATGGATGGGATGGTGGATGGATGGATGGGTTGGTGGATTGATGGATGGGTGGATGGATGGATGGATGGATGGATGGATGGGTGGATGGATGGTGGATGGGTTGATGGATGGATGGGTTAGTGGATGGATGGATGGTGGATGGGCTGGTGGATGGATGGATGGGATGGTGGATGGATGGATGGATGGGTTGGTCGAAGGTTGGTGGATGGATGGATGGGATGGTGGATGGATGGATGGGATGGTGGATGGATGGATGGATGGGTTGGTGGATGGATGGGTGGATGGATGGATGGGATGGTGGATGGATGGATGGATGGGTTGGTGGATTGATGGATGGGTGGATGGATGGATGGGTGGATGGATGGATGGGTGGATGGATGGATGGGTGGATGGATGGTGGATGGGTTGATGGATGGATGGGATAGTGGATGGATGGATGGTGGATGGGCTGGTGGATGGATGGATGGGTTGGTGGATGGATGGATGGGTTGATGGATGGATGGATGGATGGATGGTGGATGGATGGGTTGGTGGATGGATGGATGGGTTGGTGGATGGATGGATGGGTTGGTGGATGGTGGATGGGTTGGTGGATGGATGGATGGGTTGATGGATGGATGGATGGATGGATGGATGGATGGTGGATGGATGGGTTGGTGGATGGATGGATGGATGGATGGATGGATGGGTTGGTGGATGGATGGATGGGTTGGTGGATGGTGGATGGGTTGGTGGATGGATGGATGGGTTGGTGGATGGATGGATGGGTTGATGGATGGATGGATGGATGGTGGATGGATGGGTTGGTGGATGGATGGATGGATGGATGGGTTGGTGGATGGATGGATGGATGGGTTGGTGGATGGTGGATGGGTTGGTGGATGGATGGATGGGTTGATGGATGGATGGATGGATGGTGGATGGATGGGTGGATGGATGGATGGATGGGATGGTGGATGGATGGATGGGTTGGTGGATTGGTGGATGGATGGATGGGTGGATGGATGGTGGATGGGTTGATGGATGGATGGGATAGTGGATGGATGGATGGTGGATGGGCTGGTGGATGGATGGATGGGTTGGTGGATGGATGGATGGGTTGATGGATGGATGGATGGATGGATGGTGGATGGATGGGTTGGTGGATGGATGGATGGATGGATGGGTTGGTGGATGGATGGATGGGTTGGTGGATGGTGGATGGGTTGGTGGATGGATGGATGGGTTGGTGGATGGATGGATGGGTTGATGGATGGATGGATGGATGGTGGATGGATGGGTTGGTGGATGGATGGATGGATGGGTTGGTGGATGGATGGATGGGTTGGTGGATGGTGGATGGGTTGGTGGATGGATGGATGGGTTGATGGATGGATGGATGGATGGATGGTGGATGGATGGATGGGTGGATGGATGGATGGGATGGTGGATGGATGGATGGATGGGTTGGTGGATTGATGGATGGGTGGATGGATGGATGGGTGGATGGATGGTGGATGGGTTGATGGATGGATGGGATAGTTGATGGATGGATGGTGGATGGGCTGGTGGATGGATGGATGGGTTGGTGGATGGATGGATGGGTTGATGGATGGATGGATGGATGGATGGATGGATGGTGGATGGATGGGTTGGTGGATGGATGGATGGATGGGTTGGTGGATGGATGGATGGGTTGGTGGATGGTGGATGGGTTGGTGGATGGATGGATGGGTTGATGGACGGATGGATGGATGGATGGTGGATGGATGGGTTGGTGGATGGATGGATGGATGGATGGATGGGTTGGTGGATGGATGGATGGGTTGGTGGATGGATGGTTCCATTGTCCCAAATCCCCAAAGTTCCCTTCTTATCCCTCCTTTCTTTAGACCTGTAACCCTTGCATACGCAGCTTCTCAGTTCAACCAGGGTTCTTGTTATTGATGTCCAAATTGAAAAGTAACCTGGGCTGATGATCTGCTCAATTTCTGTTCAAGTCCCCTGAACCAAATTTAAAAAAAGATCAGTATTTCAGATAGTTTAGTAGCTCAGCATCTTGCTTTATAGTGACAGTTCATGGTCTCCATGTGAATAATTCCCTCCCTGTCTCTGCAGCTGGAGTGAGGACTGGAGCAACAATGTTCTGTCTGACACTGAGTCTCACTCTGTGATGTCCTTGGCGGAGAATAGCCAACGGGCCACACAGGGCGCCCGGGGTCGTCTGAATGCCACAAGTGGCACCACTGACTTAAGTTCTAACTCAGCAAAGTGCAGAGACAGCCAGCTGCAACAAGAGTTGCCTTAAACTCCCAGGTAACTGGTCAAAAGATCTTAAACTCTTTAACTGATCTATGAGGAAGATGAGGAAGAAAAGGTTAATCTGACCAAAGAAGAGATCAGTTCATTTTGTGCTTTGCACCATTTACTATTTTATTCTAGTGTATCAGCTGGATTGATTTATTTTTTGATCTAATTTAAGGAAGAACTTAAAAATCCTGCGTCTTTCTGTGTCTTTTGATTGGACTTTTTTTGTATTATTTCCCCGTCCTTTTTTCTTTTATCATTTAAATGTAAACATTATTAATAATCAATTCTCCAACATTTAACTAAAGACAGTTTTAATGGTCTTGATATTAAATATGTCAATGTTTCAAACACGTTTAGTTTTAGTGAAAAAGGTGGACATGATAAATATTACCAATATTATCAGAAGTTTCCAAACATTCAGTTTATTTTTGGCTCCTGGATTAAACAGTTGTTTTATTTTTACTTCTCCAAGGAGGTTATGTTTTTAGGAGAGCCTGTCTCTCTGTGTTCAGGATAACTTCAACAGTTATGGACGGATTATAAAGACATTTTTATCACAGTTGTCCTTCATGGAAAAGAACAATCCATTAAATGTTGATGATGATCCTATGATGGAGTATTAGGGCCAGGCTAGAGATTTTTTTTCTTCTATTTCGAGAATAAAGTCGCAAAATTACGAGAATAAAATGGTAAAATTGCAAGAATAAAGTCATAATATTAAGAAAATAAAGTCCTACAATTACAAGAAACAACTTGTATTTTATGACAACTCTTCCAAGAAGCCCTGTCTTCCCTAAAATGGGGAATGTGGAGCATCATGTGAAGTTCTACTTTAGTATCGGTTTGACAAATCAGGAAGTCTTTTAGCAGCAGCATCAAACTGGGCAGGATGACAAAGTGGACTCTGGTTGCTGATTGGTGGAGCTGGTCGGCCATCATCTGCTGGGCGGAGCTCCAAGCTTTCTTTCTGAAATGGGTTGTGGTACGATGACTTCATTCTCGTAATATTACGACTTTATTCTCAAATTTTTTCCAACGTTATTCTCGTAATGTGACTACTTTATTCTCGTAATGTTAGGACTTTATTCCCAAATTTTTCTGAATTTTTTCTCGTAATTGTACGACTTTATTCTCGTTATGTTACAAATTTATTCTCGTGATCTAACAACTCTATTCTCGTAATTTTATAACTTTATTCTTGTAATCTTATGACGTTATTGTCAAGTTTTTCCAACTTTATTATAGTAATGTTATGACTTTATTCTCGTAATGTTACTACTTTATTCCCAAGTTTTTCCTACTTTATTCTCGTAATTTTACAACCTTATTCTCGTAATGTTACGAATTTATTCTCACTATGTTACGACTTTATTCTCGTAATTGTACGACTTTATTCTCGTAATGTTACAAAGTTATTCTCATAATGTAACGACTTTATTCTCCTAATATTAAAACTTTATTCACGTAATATTACGACTTTATTCTCAAATTTTTTCCAACGTTATTCTCGTAATGTGACGACTTTATTCTCGTAATGTTAGGACTTTATTCCCAAATTTTTCTGAATTTTTTCTCGTAATTGTACGACTTTATTCTCGTTATGTTACAAATTTATTCTCGTAATCTAACAACTCTATTCTCATAATTTTATAACTTTATTCTTGTAATCTTATGACGTTATTGTCAAGTTTTTCCAACTTTATTATAGTAATGTTATGACTTTATTCTCGTAATGTTACTACTTTATTCCCAAATTTTTCCTACTTTATTCTCGTAATTTTACAACCTTATTCTCGTAATGTTACGAATTTATTCTCACTATGTTACGACTTTATTCTCGTAATTGTACGACTTTATTCTCGTAATGTTACAAAGTTATTCTCATAATGTAACGACTTTATTCTCCTAATATTAAAACTTTATTCTCGTAATGTTATGACTTTATTCTCAAATTTTTCCGACTTTATTATCGTAATGTGACGACTTTATTCTCGTGATTTTACAACTTTATTCTCGTAATGTTATGACTTTATTCTAAAGTTTTTACGACTTTATTCAAAAATTTTTACGACTTTATTCTCAAATTTTTACGACTTTATTCTTGTAATTTTATTTTTTTGTAGAAAAAAAAAATCTCTAGCCTGCCCCTTATACTCCGTATGATCCAGATAATGATCTGAATACAAGAGGTAGGGATGTTTGGTGGAACAAGCAGTTCTCCACTTAACCACAGGGGGGCAGCAGTGCATTGGACTTAAAAAGTCGGGGGGTATTTTACTGACAAAAACACAAGAAAAAGAAACGTTGTTGGTTTGTTATCCGGATCGATTGAAAATGAATGGATTTTATGGATATCTCTACCAGAGGTGTGCCTCATGCCGAGGAACAATTGATTTTAATTTGGTAATGATCCAGATGGTGTGCGAGTTTTAGTTATAGATGGAAGTCACAATATGGGTTAACATTTGCTGTTTGATGGAGGTCTGCACTGTGAGTGCTTTTCTAGTTCTGTCTCGTGTTGAACTGCCCCTCTAGACTTCATATAAACTGGTTTTAAATGGTATTCGCTAGAAGGTGGGGAGAATGGGGGGGGCAGGTGGGCTCTCCTCATCCTCCACAGGAAGTCCAAGCGCTTCTGGGCCCTTTGGACCAGTGAGGTGGTGTTTCCAGTCCAGGTGAGGTTGTCTGTGATGAATGTGGTGCTGCTGACCACCTCTACAGCTGAGCTGTTGATGAGCAGTGGAGCGTGGTTAGGCCGCTTCTTCCTGAAGTCCACCATGATCTCCTTGGTCTTCTCCACCTTCAGGATCAGGCTGTTATCTCTGCTCCACCAGCTGCTCCACCTCCTCTCTGTAGTCCAGGTCGTTGTCGTCTCTGATGAGGCCCACCGCCGTGGTGTCGTCTGCAAACTTCACTGTGTGATCGGTGGTGAACCTGGGGACGCAGTCGTGTGTCATCAGGGTGAACAGCAGGGGGCTCAGGACGCAGCCCTGAGGGGAGGGGCTTAGACTGATGACATCAGAGGTGTTCTGTCCGAACGGACTGATTGAGGTCTGTCTGTGAGGAAGTCTAGCAGCCAATAGCAGAGGGGTGTATCACCAGACTTGAAAACCAATTTCCGTGCTTTTAGCGATTTCTGAAACTCTTCATTTGTCCGGGTCGGTTGGTTGGCCCGGGTGGTGATGTTCTTTGTGATGCTGACGTCCTCAATGCATTTGTTGATGTAGGCTGACACAGTCATGGCATACTCATCAATATTGATCTTGTCATATGTTGCTGCAGATTTAAACATGTTCCAGTCAGAACATTCAAAAAAGTACTGGAGTTTCTGCATAACCTCCTCCTTCACTGTTGGTTTAGCCCTGATTAGCTGGGGTCTGTATGCAGGAATTAGCATGATAGAAGTGATCTGATAATGGCATAATGTTATCACCACCGTGCCTGCTGCTATGTTCATGGGTCCAGGAGGCTACCTGAACTCTTCAAATGTGCCTGTGAGGATGAAATCTGTTTAGTGGAATCTGGGTCAATCTAGAAAATTTTGGTTGAATCTGGGTCAATCTGGGTTATTCTAGAACATTTGGATACAGTTACCTTTTTATGACTCAGTGTCTCTGATGTCAAACTGCTGAACGTATGAAGAACCAAGTTTCTCCAGACATGTGGTCGAATCACCTCTGCTGGAGTGGAATGAAAATTATTATGAGAATGACTGTGTCTTCAGTCAGAGGCTGCGCTGTAGGACAGACCACTATAGGAGATCAAGAAAGTATTTTAAATTTGAATTTAAATAAATGATAATTATTTAGTGTCCAGCTTGGATCCCAGTGTCCCCTCCAGCTACAGCCAATCAGATGTTGTTTTCAATATTCAAATTCAATTCAGTTTATTTCTATAGCTCCAATTCACATCATGTCATCTCAGGTCACTTTCCAGAAACAAGTCTACCAGATCGTCCAGTCAGCTTGGTTCAAAGTTTTCTATTTAGGGAAATCATTTGATTGCATCGACTCATCGACTCTGCAGCAATCCCTCACACTAAGCATGCTTGTAGCGACAGTGGAGAGGAAAAACTCCCTTTGAACAGGAAGAAACCTCCAGCAGAACCAGGCTCAGTGTGAGCGGCCATCTGCTGAGGCCCACTGGGGTTCAAGGAGACAGAAGCAGACATAGAAAAAGAAGCATAGATACAAAAGGCAGCTGTCAACCAGCTCCACAGGCGGCCCCGTCCAGGAAACACACAGCCAGGCAGACGAGCTCCGAGCCAGCTCCCATGTCAGAGGATGAAGAGAGCACATCCAGTTAGTCACAGTCAGAGAAACAGGACTACACTGGAAAACAGGCCAAGCTCCAACATCTAGAAACAAAGGTGTTGATGGCAGCAGCACAGCAGATATTTCTCTCCAGGATGGAGTCACAGCCAAACAGGAACAGACCAGATGAAGCTACTATGAGAAAAAGCAGAGAGAGCAGAACGTTAGAGATTGAACTAACAGATTCTGCAGAGTGGGAGAATAGAGATAGAATGAAGCAGAATGATGGAAAAGGGGTCCCTATGTCCTCCAGCAGTCTAAGCCTATAGCAGCAGAACTATAGAGATAGCTCAGGATAATCTCAGTATTTTGAATGATGTGTAATAAAGGTAGAACCAAGTCAAACCTATAATGTTGATTTGAACCCAGATGAGGCTGTAATCTTTCCGTTGTGTTTCTGCAGGTTTGCGTCTCAGCTGTCTCCAGACTCAAAGACAGCCCTGAGCACTCCTGCCTCTCCTCCGTCAGAGATGTCCGCTCCACTATCCAGCCTGGCCGTTTCTGTCCCCTCGGTGGCTCTGAGCCCCTCCCTTGAGGAGGATCGTCCTCTGCTGCTGTCAAAGAAGAGTCAGCAGACCATGTCCTCCAGACTGGCGGATCAGAAGAGCAGCTTTTCCCACTACAACCACGGCCACGTGGCACACAGCTTACCGCCCAGCCCCGCCCTCCATGCTAAGAACGTGACCTTCGGAACCCCGGGGGACCGAGACGCCGCCGCCAGCTACAGTTTCTCAGAGTTACCTGAGAAACTGACAAATCGACTAGACAGCAGCAGGAAGTGCATCAGCCAAAGAGCTGCGTGCCGCGTGCTGTGCTCCATGGAGTCCAATGACAGCATGCTATTCAGTGAAACGGACGAGCCTCATGGCGGAGACAGACATTTCCTCACTGCAGACAGCACCGCAGCCCTGTGGGACACGGGGAGCAGCAGGACTAACCCAGCATCACCAAGCCACGCCCTGCACCTCCAACCTCACAACCCCATCGCTGTGTAAAGAAATACTCACCTCACATCTACCTTCCACTCGCTAACCGCTGCATAAAGACAAAAAAAGGAAAAGAAACCTATTTTAGTGATGTAGTAAATGAAGAGTTTTATAAAAGAAGAAACAATCTGAACATATTCATGAGCTGCAGGTAAAGTGCCATATGCTAGAATACAGCAAAGGTCCCAGAGCAGAAAAATATCAACGGTGCCTTTGTGTTTGGAGTGGCTGAAGTGGAGCAGCACTGCACACCGAGCTGTGGGCCGCCACCCTGATGTTAGGCCGGGGCCGGACGCATGCCTTGATCAAATACTCAGCATGTTGTACTTTGATTTCCTGCTTTTTTTCCTTTGACAGGGTCGCTTCTTTCCTGCACTTGTCTGATTGATCCTGAGCCGGTTTAAAGCCATGCATCACTGAACAGCCACGCCTGGACTTATACTCAGTAAAACCTTCTGAAATGGCTCATTACCTGCATTTGATGGAGGAGAGAAAATATTAGCCACCATGTTATTTTTATTGTTCACTATCCGTCCCAGTAACCGGGCACTGAATAGATAGAACTGTGAGATTAATGTGCAATCACTGCTTTACTAATGCGGTCACCGCTTTAGCTAACATAATCCTGTAGATTTATTTCATTTCTGTATCAGATTTTAATCTGTATTAAAGTTATTGTGCTGATGCAGTTGGAGACGGCGCTCCTGCAGCCCTGGAGAGCCCCGTCCTCACAGGCTGGGTCCTTCAGAGGGACTGTAGAACACGACTGTAACGGCTGCAGCCTCCTAACTAAAGAGGAAGATGCTTGCTCGTTTTTTTTTTATGCTGACCTCCAGTGAATCACCAGGGTGAATACAGCTGCTAACAAAGATCCGAAAGTGGTCAAATGCACTGACTCTATATCTGTTTCATGATTCTACGTCTTCTAACAAAGATATTGTCTTAATCAGTCATGTCATAATATATATATATTTTTTTTTTACATTAACAAGTTTTCCTGGAACTGTAGGAAAAGTCAGTCTTTTAATGAAGGCACATGTTAAGCAGATAGTGCTGTGATTACCCATAATGCTAAGCTGCCTTAAGTCGTACCTTATAGGCATTCAATTACTGCACCTCACCTACTTTAAAAGATGTGTCTGCACTTCTGCTCTCAGATGCTTGGGTTTGTGATTTCTCTATGTGGTGTCATTGTTGATGTAGTGAAAAAAAAGCTATTAATAAATAAAAACTGATACTGGTTTAACTGGTTCTGTTATTAGAACATCAAAGGATGTCTGCTGATCTCCTTAACGGACCTCCCAGAAGAAGAATCCTACAGTTTCTGGACCTCCTTAACAATTAAAAATGATTCAAGAGAAACGGTAATGTTTAAAAATTTGATATTTTTAGGGCAAAAGCGAGAAAACTAATAAAAACCGTTTAGTTTTACACTGTAGCTGTCTGGCTTTTCAACTGTGTACATATTAAATAAAATCATTGCTCCCGCTGAAATTCAACACGCTCTGTGTTTTCTTTATCATTTTGACGCTATTGTTCTGATCAAACTTTGTTTCTTAAAGCTCCTTACCAAAGGTGGAATTTGCTTGAACATCTTCAAACTTTGACATTCTAATTGGAATTGAATGAGATTCTCAAATATAAAGAAGCACTGCATAGAGGTAAAGGGAAATCTGAAAAGTGTGGTAAGCATCTGATTTCATGCAGCCTAATGCTACATTCATGCAGCACGCAACAGAAGAAGCTAAAACACGCGTCAAGCAAATCAAACAAGCAAATAATTTAATAAAACATGATTTGGCCAAATCATGTTTTATTAAATTATTTGCTTAATAAGAAACCAATAGCCTTTAGTTAAATGATTATTTACCCTCTTTGAAATAGCTAGCAGCGAATAGACATCAGTATTCCACTAAATGACTCTTGGTCAGACTTGGTAATGGAAATGTAATGAGCATCTGAGGAACACATGAACACTAATGTTATATCAGTGTTTAAACTCTTAGTGAATAAAGCTTCTCTAAGCTTTAGCAACAGCTCAACACATATTCCTGTAGCATAGCATAGCATGCAGTCCATTCTTTAGCATCAATTAGCGTTGTCTTTACTCATTAGTAAACACACGATATGATTAGCATCATCAAAAGACATATTGTTTGTTCTGTCCCTAATCATGCCAGAGCTGCAAACCTTTTTTCCATGTCCATTGGAAAGCTTGGGTTTCATCCAGCTGCAGCTCAGCAACCAGAGGTTCTTTGTCTCAGTCGTTCATCAAGGCAGGCCTTCTGTCCAGTCTGGCTCTATAAGTTCTGAAACTCAAGAGAAATGTGTTGCAAAAGGTCTGTTTTGCAGCAGTTTGGTTCTGAAAAGTTCTGACCTATCCTTGATGGTTCTGGAGGTCTGGGTCTCCTTGGGCCCGCATCTCCACTGTGGTGGAGAACCTGCCAAAGCGGACCCCAGCTTCCTGGGCAAGAGAGAGGAGGCAAAGAGGGCTAGAATCTGTTTTTCTCTGTCCTCACACAGAGGGGGATGGTTGGTCACACCTCTGTGACTTTCCATGTGACTGTTTTGGCTGAAAAGGTGCTTAATTTAATAGGTTATTCCTACAGTAAAAATATTAAATCCTATATATTGTCTTTAGATGCAGAAAAAGCATTCGATAGAGTAAACTGGAAATTTTTATTTGCTACTCTACATAAATTTGGTTTTGGCACTTCCTTTATAAATTGGTTAAAAATCTTATACAGCTTCCCAACAACCTGTGTCAGGACAAATAATTAAACATCTTCCAGCTTTTGTCTCCAGAGGGGCACCAGGCAGGGATGCCCGCCCCCCCCTCACTTTTTGCTATTTTCATTGAGCCTCTGGCTGCAACAATCAGACAAACTAATGTGGTTAAAGGTATAAAAGGTATGAAAATAAAGCATCAAATCTCAAGTGATTAGATTACTAGAATCTTTCTGAAAAGTCTCAGAATACTCTATAAATTGGTCTAAATCTATAATACTACCAACTAATTGATCTCTACAGAATCCCTCAGGTCTACAATTGCAATTAGGAAATATCAAATATTTGGGAATAACTGTGTCATCTAAACTAGCTGAGTTACTAAAACTCAACCACATCCCTCTTTAAAAAAAAATAGAAGAGGACCTAGAAAGATGGAAGTCGCTTCCGATCTCCCTTATGGGTCGGGTAGCATCAATTAAAATGATGGTCTTACCCAGAATTAACTACCTATTTTTAATGATCCCAAATAAACCATCAACCGAATGGTTTAAATCTCTAGATTCTTCCATTTTTAAATTTCTTTGGAAGGACAAACCCCCTCGTATCAGCTTAAAAACACTTCAGAAAACTAAAGACAGAGGGGGACTAGATTTACCTAACTTCCAACACTACTATTTAGCAAATAGATTACAATACATCTCTAAATGGATAAAACATAATGCCTTAGATGAGCCCTGGATAGACACAGAACAGGAATTATGCAGTAATATCATAATTTCAGATTTGCCGTTTATTAGCTCTAATATCAAGCAGCACTCATGTTTTAAAAATATTAACATCAGCTCTTCCCTGACAGCATGGTGGGAATTTCTAAAAATAACGAAGTCATCACTTATCCGGTGCAGTCGTACGCCCATCTGGAATAACCCTGACATTCTACAAAACAATAATATGATAAACTTTCCGTACTGGAAGAATAAAGGTATTAACTATCTGGATCATTTGTTTGAAGGAACGTAGTTTATCACATTTGCTAGATTAAATTTGCAATATGGCATTAACAAAAATAAATTCTTAGAATATGAGCAAATTAAAGCTATAATTAGAAACAAATTTAAGCATATTGATGGAGGTTTAATAATTCCAACTAATATATCAGAGTTCCTAAAGTTAAACCCCCCCAAACTACTGTCTAAATTATACAGGACACTGTTAGAAAAGTACAGGTGCTGGTCATAAAATTAGAATATCATGAAAAAGTAGATTGATTTCAGTAATTCCATTTAAAAAGTGAAACTTGTATATTATATTCATACATTACATACAAACTCATATATTTCAGATATTTATTTTGTTTAATTTTGATGATTACAAATGACAACAAATGAAAATCTCAAATTCATCATATCAGAAAATTAGAATATTACTGAAGACCAATAAAAACAAAGGATTTATAGAAATGTTGGCCAACTGAAAAGTATGAACATGAAAAGTATGAGCATGTACAGCACTCAGTATTTAGTTGGGCCTCCTTTGGCCTGTATTACTGCAGCAATGCGGCGTGGCATGGAGTCGATCAGTCTGTGGCACTGCTCAGGTGTTATGATAGCCCAGGTTGCTCTAATAGTGGCTTTTAGCTCTTCTGAATTGTTGGGTCTGGTGTATTGCATCTTCTTCTTCACAATACCCCATAGATTTTCTATGGGGTTAAGGTCAGGAGAGTTTGCTGGCCAATTAAGAACAGGGATACCATGGTCCTTCAACCAGGTACTGGTAGCTTTGGCACTGTGTGCAGGTGCCAAGTCCTGTTGGAAAATGAAATCTGCATCTCCAAAAAGTTGGTCAGCTGCAGGAAGCATGAAGTGCTCTAAAACTTCCTGGTATGTGGCTGCGTTGACCCTGGACCTCAGAAAACACAATGGACCAACACCAGCAGATGACATGGCACCCCAAACCATCACTGACTGTGGAAACTTTACACTGGACTTCAAGCAACGTGGATGAAGTGCCTCTCTTCTTTTCCTCCAGACTCTGGGACCTTGATTTCCAAAGGAAATGCAAAATTTACTTTCATCAGAGAACATGACTTTGGACCACTCACCAGCAGTCCAGTCCTGTTTCTCTTTAGCCCAGGCAAGACGCTTCTGACGCTGTCTGTGGTTCAAGAGTGGCTTGACACAAGGAATGCGACAGCAGAAACCCATGTCTTTCATACGTCTGTGTGTGGTGGTTCTTGAAGCACTCACTCCAGCTGCAGTCCACTCTTTGTGAATCTCCCCCACATTTTTGAATGGGTTTTGTTTCACAATCCTCTCCAGGGTGCGGTTATCTCTCTTGCTTGTACACTTTTTTCCACCACATCTTTTCCTTCCCTTCGCCTCTCTATTAATGTGCTTGGACACTGAGCTCTGTGAACAGCCAGCCTCTTTAGCGATGACCTTTTGTGTCTTGCCCTCCTTGTGCAAGGTGTCGATGGTCGTCTTTTGGACAACTGTCAAGTCAGCAGTCTTCCCCATGATTGTGTAGCCTATAGAACTAGACTGAAAGACCATTTAAAGGCTTTTGCAGGTGGTTTGAGTTAATTAGCTGATTAGAGTGTGGCACCAGGGGCCATCAATTTTGAACCTTTTCACAATATTCTAATTTTCTGATATGATGAATTTGAGATTTTCATTTGTTGTCATTTGTAATCATCAAAATTAAACAAAATAAACATCTGAAATATATGAGTTTGTATGTAATGTATGAATATAATATACAAGTTTCACTTTTTAAATGGAATTACTGAAATCAATCTACTTTTTCATGATATTCTAATTTTATGACCAGCACCTGTAAGGATAAACTCAGCATCAATCAGTACAGAGATCTGTTGTTAGATGATATTAATCTAGAGACAGCATCTGCATCCCCATCTGACCGATCGCTCTGGGCTCCCTTGATCGGCTCCATCACTTAGTGTAGTGGGGGGCTGTGGGGCGCGTCCTATAGGGGGCGGGGGCTGGGGGGCTTGGGATGCCTTGGGGCGCCGTTTGTGGTGCTCTTGGGGGGTTACTGGAGGCACCACCTTCTGATGACGTTCCCCACCCCAATTTTATTTTGCATTTTAGACACTTCCACCTACAACATTTTCACAACACACATCTATGTAGGGCATTTTCTGGGGGGGGGGGCAAGGGCACCCGGGGTTATTTCATGGGCCTCGCCATGGTCGGCTCCCCCCATCCCCTCTCACATTAAGACATTGAGGGTTCTGGGTTGTCGATTGGGGGGGTGCGCTGGCACCGCCTGCCTCCCGTCTGGGGCCTGGAGGAAGAGCGAGCTGCCTGGTCCGGGGTCTTGGCGGGGGGCTGAAGCGGGGCCTGGGTGGCCTACCTGTGGCGGGGCTGTCACTTCTGCTCTCCCCAAAGAAGGTTGGAGGGTGGGGCGCGTAGTGGCTAGGTGAATTAGTTAGAAGGGGTGGGGGGCGTTTTGGTTGGCTGGCTTGCACAGGGCATGTGGGCCCTGAGTTTTGGCTGGGGGTGGTCTGGTCCAGGGGCGGGATGGGGGGCCAGGCCCGAAGCAGGAACGAGATGGGTTGGGGTGGCGCTGTCACGGTTTTAGGTTCACTTATTGGGTCATCCGATAATCCCGGGACCAACAACCGGGTCTTTGGTCCTGGTATTATTGGATGTGAGTGTTATGTGTAAATGTGCGTCCGCGGTATTTTTTTATTTTTTTTTTCTGTGTGGTGTGAGTGGGGGCACTAGGGTGGGAAGAAAAAA